AGGGAAAGAAAAAGAAAGACATCAAACAGTAACATTATTATTGGGATGTAGTAATACACATTCTATGATACCTTAACCTAACACAGTAGAGTGATAAGGTGGCCCAAGTGATTTGGGGGGAGGGGCATAGGGTTGGAGTGATAAGGAGAGTGTGGGTTTGAATCCCTCCACTGACAACTAACAACTAACAATTAACATTTGCCAATAAAAAAATAAAAAGAAAAAACCTAACACAGTAACACTTCTATTTATTCTAATAATTAGGTCAAGTTCTAGGACAGCTACTACGTTAAAATGGGTGCATCATTAAATGATACATGTTTATTTCACAACCGTGATTAAAAACAAAACAACTGATGGCAAGAAATTTAATTATAATGTTCACAACTCTACTCATAATCACTAGGGATACTTAATTGGGGCAGAAATTGTAGCAAACCTGTATGCTACTGGATCAAAGGGGTGAAAAATGTTGAACATCTGCCGACAAGCTGGCATCTCCTCACTTATATTTTCTTGCTCCCAATATTCTTGGCCTCTGCCTGAAAACAAGAAAGAATACTTGGTTATCAACCTAGATGCAAATGATTAAAACTGGACGTTAGTAAGTGACTGACCCTTGCAACCTTAATCCCTTTTATTATATAAAAAGCATATAAAGCTCTAACTTTCCAATGACGTCAAACGAAAATGAATCAAAGATTTGAAGAATAGAAGAAAAAACATAGCCAAAGATGATCATAGTGATAGAATACATGATGAAAACTCAATACTATATTGATTATATTTTACAATAATTTAAATATCTTCTGTTACCTCAAGATTAGTTTCCATATTTCCCATAATCCCTATGATTCATTTTCTTATTTAATTAGGATTATGATCTAATATTAGTATACATAAGGCCAGCACTTTATGTTTTGTATCGTTGTAATGCATCATATGTTAGGAACCAAGAGGAGCCAATATTAAAGGTCCATTCTAGGAGGCAAAGGAACCAATGAGATGTAAGGGATGACTGGCTACTGGAAGCCTGGTTAGTAAAGGTGGTGGTTAGCATAGTTAGAGAGATCTGTTCAGTTTGGGAGTTTAGAGGAGAGACTTATAAATACTATTTTATATTGAATAAGGGGGTCATTATTTGGGATGGTAATGAACTGTTTTCACAGTTGTAGAAGGGGTTTTCCCTTGGCAGAGCAGAATAATAGAAGAGTTAATCATCCATACACTGTCAGTGTAAAAAAATTTACACTGGCAACCAATCATATCTTTTAGTAGATTTTATTTTATTTTTATTTCATTAAATAAGCAAATGATATGGCACTATTAAAAGATATGATTGGTTGCCAGTGTAAAAAGTTTTTTAC